AAAAGACATCTGATGCTGCGTTTCCGAGTTAGTCTATGGATAACACAAAGGTCACCAGCAGAGATTTTCACCTCAGATAACTAAGCTCCGAATGATATGATTGTAAGATGAATTCAATTCCCGTCCTTAAATCAAGTCAACCTGTCCCGGATCAGCCTAGCATTGTTGCAACACAATTATCCATGCCTAACGTGTCTATCCCACCTTGTTTAATGAACTGTGTATGTGTGTTTTTACTTCGATCCGTTTAGTCAGACAGTTGAACTCATGACCCAATCAGAGTATTTTTGTGAACTGTTATTTTGCTGACCCATGTCTTACTTTGTATTATTCTGTTGAGTTTATCTTATTTATTGATTGGTTAAGTAGCCAATTAAATTCCATCTTTGTGCCTATGCTTTGTCTATCTCTTACTTGGGTTCATTCTTCTACTGACTGCTTACCTGAACGGTCGTGTCTGATCCGGCTAGTTCGTAATTTTGGCTTTAACGTTATTCCGCTCTGATAGCAGTTCCTTGCTTTCTGTTAAGCATTGTGTATTGTACTCTTGAAACCGCTAAGGTTTGTTGTATATATATTTATTGGTTTGTTAATTAATAGTACCGTAGAAACAGTGACCGGCTTCTTGTTTGTTCCGGACCGGGATAGCCTATATCTACGCGTGACTTCATTTCAAGCGATATTGCGCTTACAATGATTGACTACGTGCATCTACTTAAGCAACACATGAATGAGCTAAAACTATCACTTTTACGCCAGCAGCACCGGCTATCATACATCTCACTCTGACTGACAAACTACACTCTCCTTTTCGTCAAGAAAGATGGCGTACAACGACAACTTCGAACTGCTTATGATGGCTCATTTGGATTTTCGCAACGCTAGAATCCCCAACGGATAAAGCAGGTGCTGCCACCTGAAAACAGGAATATGCCATATAATCTCCCATATTCGATGCTGAAGAGAATCCTTGTTTGATTAATTTCACTAAAGTGTGACTCACGTCACGCGCCTTACGTGTGCTGCTTGAATACGACGTGCTTTACCTCTTTAACCGGAAAATATCTATTTGGTGAATTATCTACTTGGGAAACCTGATCTTTCTAGCTGGTGAATTAAATCCAACCATTACTTTCATATCAAATCTCTGTGTGATAAGATCGGCTGTGTCGAACTACTGTCAAAGCTTCAGGTACTATATCTGTGGCAGCATCTTCCTCACTCGTTCAGATAAACAAGGCTTATTCTACCACGTGATTGCTGTGAAGCTGAGTAACCAAAAAGTACCAGGTAAAGTCGAATTTCGCATAGGATGAGTGCAATGCAGTCGTGACAAAGGACTGATGAAACTGCACTATGAGTTTAAGCGAAACACCCCGTACCCATGCTTTTAGTACATTTATCCAATTTGTCGCCCTGGCAAATTCTCACACAGCGTGTTGTCGGATAGCAGAAACAGCACTCCACGTTTCCGTCTCGCAACAGTCCCACGCAGCGCTCCACTTGACAACATCACATCATCAAAACTTAGCGAAACCATTACCAGGACACTCCAGCCCAACCGACTTCAAATATCATTCTTCATAAATTAAAGACTTCTAAGGTTACATTAGCGTTGGCGGTATAGCGGTTAGGACGCTCGCCGACCATGCACACAGTCCGGGGTTCAATCCCCAGCCGACGCAGTTCTTTACCTCGCTGAGCCAGAAATAATGCTGGTAAGGAGGAAAGGTTGGGCATGAGGCTAGCAACCCCGTCCTGTAAAATAAACACTTCTACAGAAACTTCAAGCCACTAGCTTGAAGCCCCGTGTTCCACTGGAGAACGTGAAGGGAAAAAAAGGTTACACTAAATACCAACCACACGTCGGAAATGTCATAATCGTGACCTCACCAGGGACTAGTGACCACGCAGTCATAGAGTTTCATCTTATTCTCCACAAGTGTTTACAGTGGGACGCTACGTTACCATGTCTATACCATGGCAAGGCTAACTATGCCGAAATACGGTGCAGAATGTCCCACAGAATGGACTAAGTTATCTGTGGAGGAACACTAGGAGGTGGCAAAAAGGATTATTCAGTTAGCAATTTCAGGCTCCGTCCCTCCAATCACAACACAGGCGAGTAAAAGGTCCTCATGGCTGAAATAAGGTACTCAACATATTCTGTAAGCGAAGAGGAAGGCGTCATCTACGTGGAGAATATCTAAGTGTCAAATACACCATGATGTATACCTGGAACTCAGTAACTGTTGGGACACAAGAGTTAGGAGTGACAGGAAGTAATTTCAGGCTAACCTTGCCAAGAAACTCCTAGCGAGCTACAGAAGCCTGTATCGATTCATATCGAACAGGAAACCAACCAACCAGGGGCATGCGCCCTAGCGGGTCGAAGCGGTCAATACCTCGCTAGTCTGGAGATGACTGAAACATTCAGTTTAGCCTTCGCCAAACAGTTAAACAACAGTGTGTGTATTACTGGTATGGAGCAGAATGGCGGCACTACTACTTCACCGGGTGAAAATCTAGTGGTTACTCTCTAAATAAACCTATAATAAAACTACGGAAGTAACAAAGACTCACATCTGGAACGTTCTAAGGTTTTGAAGAAATTAGGGCATCTGCTCCGAAACAGTGCGCTGAAGCTCTCTGTAGGCCCTTATGGGACTTGTTTTAACACTCACTCGACGAAGGGAAACTGTCAAAAGAGTGAAAAAGAACCATACTTTCCTCTACTTTCAAAGGTGAGGACAGGCAAGATGTCACCAGCAGCACTATTCCCAGTGGTGTTAAAAGTACTGGAAGGTATAACTAATGTGTACATCAGGAAACACCTTGGCAGGACTAACAGATTCCATGAATCACAACATGGTTTCAGGAGAGACAGACCCTCTATGACAAACCTAATATCACCAAGAACGACTGAACATAATGCTGAAACGTGAAAATTCCAGTCCATAGGATCTTCCTAGACTTTGAGAAGGCATTTGACACAGTTCAACATTACATTCTTTTACATAAAATGAGTCAGGTAGATATAGGCGGGCAGCTTCTCTCATGGTTAAAGGACTACGCATATGAAAGGAAATTCTTTACGAAGGTCAATAGTGTCTGATCATCCTCGCACAGCTCGTCATTAGCAGTATCGCAGGGCTCTTTCCTGGGGCAACTGATGCTTTTGATTTCTATCAGTGAACTCCCCTGTCACCTCAGCTGCACGCCTGTTCTTTACGCTGACGACATAGAGATTTGGAGAGCAACAAAGTTCTCGAAAGACTCAGATAGACTTCAGGCAGACACACAACTTCTAGAAGATTGGGTGGTGGCCAGTGGGAAAGAAAAGAAACAAAAGTAACTGCAAATCTGGTCTTCCTTTCTCTATCGAAATTTATCAGGGGAACCAAATGCATGAAATATTCTCGGTGTTTACATGTTTCATTCATCGACAGATGCAGCTAATTACCCGCGTAAAGACTTTATATTTCCATCATATGATCAGTTAACATACTGTAAGTCATTTCAAGGCGATTTGGCTCGTTCCTTACCTTCCACCCTTCATGTCGCAACCGTTTGCGATTGCACAGATTTGAAGTTTAGATGACATTTCTTGCTTTAGTGCTGGCAGCTCGTGTGAAAAATCATCACTGAACGTTTGGTCGTGTGCTGTACGACCCTGACAACAAAATACAAATGGGGCCGAAACGAATAAATCAAGGTAAATTAGCTAGATATTAACTAAGCAAACTTCCAGTTTGTTTCCGATTAATTAAGATGTACTAATTTGTGTCCTGCCAAGCACACATTCAACCAGCCTCCTACCCCACGCAACACATTCTCGTAACACGCGTGTTATGGACGTCTCTAGTTCACCCTCATTAGCCACACGATTTCGAAGAGCTTATCCTTAAGAACAACCTCAAAATTTCATTATGAGTATTTGCAGATTAGGTAAGCCAATGACTGAATCCGTACTACGGTACATTGAGCCTGCTGAGAATGGTTTAAGGCAAAGTAGTAACAACAACTGGTGTGCTTGTTGCGATGATTGATCAATTCTTCCCCCTTCAAAATGTTGGTTTCAAGCCATATGCAATTTCATTCGAATGCATCTGTTAACTTGTTGATGCCTTTATTAATAAATGAAGCTACTCTCCAGTCTTGTGTGATATTCCTGGTTATCTAAGCTCCATTCTTTGGCTTTTTCTGATGTTCAGTACGTGCGAGTTCAAGCAAAAGGATTTTCAAATTTGCTGAGTAGCAGTATAAACCCACTCCAGTCTCCTATAAGTTCCTTCTAAATTTAAAAATGTTAGAACATGACAAGCCACTGCTTACCATGTTACCAATATATTCTCTTAAGATCATGAACTGAAGTTGCGCTGAAAAAGTTTTCAAAACATTGAATTATTAGTGTTACAACAACCTAAATTTTTTGTACTGCATTTGAAACCCTGAAAACTCAGGTTGTAATACCTCTGTCTTAATCGTAGGTTTGATATTAAATCCTACACAAATTGTGTCAGTTATCCAGTGCCTTTGAGTGGAAACACATCATCCACGTGGTTTCAACTTGCTCTCTGGTATCCGGTCTTTCGTGGTTGTAGTATAAAAGTTCCAACATATCCACCGTCAGTCAGCTAACACAACAATAATCTCGCCTAGTCATACCGTGACTAGTCCATCAATTAGAAGCAGCCAAGTACTTTTCCTTCGTCTTTTGGTTTTCGATACATGTTGAATTATTGTCTCAACAACTTCCGCAATTTTCTGAACTCTAAAGTCAAACTAAAACATATGTAACGAAAATTCACGATGACTAGTGTGTGCTACATTTATACAGCCCATTTTACAGCTACCTGAAATTATCAAACTACAAGTTTCACACAGTGTTATATACCATGGTTGTAAAGAAACAGATGCACCGGAAGCAGCATTGCTCAAATCAGTTTCTTCGCTGTTGAAAAAAGGCTCGAAATTGGATCAGGTCTCTTCTGATCTATATGAGGAAAAAGTAAGAGTGATGGCACGCACAAACTTAGATAAAGTGAAAGTGTGCAGGTCAGTATCAGGGAGTATTAGAAGAACACATTAGCACAGTAAAAGAAGCTGAGGTATAGAAAATTGAAAACGTTCCGTTATAATAACAGTAGGTTAGAAATTAAGAAGAAATTGTTACTATAATGCAGCCGTAGTACTAGATTTTCATGCCCTCACAATATTTGAGGCATTCGATCATTACACGGTATTGTTCTATCGACTGTCATGATTACTTATAATAGCTGTACAGATTGCGTGTGAATCCTCCTTTCATCAATAGCTCAATCTTTTGCAGCCAGTATGATTCTAATGGCAGTCCAAATGTGCCTGTTTAACATTTCACCTCAAATATTAACTATTTCAGACACCTGTCGTATTCAAACTACATGAAATCCAATGTGAGTATGAGACTAAAAACTAGGACGAATAAATCCTGAAGTTGTAAACTGGGTCTGGAAGACTGATGTTGATTAATGAGACATGAGTTCTGTTCTTCGTTTATCTTCACTACCATTATTAATATTTATTATTCGTATCTAGAATGAAATTAATATAGATGATGACTAATACATACTCAACCTCCTGCATTTTTAAATGAGATGAAAAGAAACAGCGGGACTGCACAGATGTCAAGACAGAAATGCACACCTATCAAGGGTTGCTTGCTCAAACAAGGGAATAGTCTTAGGAACGAATTCAAGGAGAACTAATACGTAACTCGATTTCCTGCATTCGTGATCAGACCAGATTAAAGAACAAATATGTGAAAATTCTTTCAAAAGCTGTCTAAATGAAAGATGCTTGAGATAACTGACTGACACCATTTCAAATAATTGTACAGGAAAGTATTGGACATCGTATGTTGCTTACGTGGTTTATACGATTCCCATGCGTACGTCAAGGTCAGTTGGTCCTTTAGGTGTTTTTTGCATATGTATCCTTATTCAGGTGAAGTTAAACTTTAAGCACCACTGACTACCAATGAAGTGCGACCGCACCAATAACCTTAATTGCTCACTGAGCAAGGCAGTGAAACCTGGCAATTAATGTTGTTACCATCAATCAAATATTCTCATCGAAGTTTTATGCTATTAAATGGGATTTCTGGCAAGTTTCAGCTTAGGTTTGAGAAAGATTAATTTACAGTTTAAGCCAAGGACAAGTTAGGGTTAGGTTAACCTAACAAAGGCGACATGTGGGTTGGTTCGATTTAGATTGCAGTTAATTTAGGGATATTTTCACGTTAGGGTTAGAAAACCCTAATAATAACATGCATAAAATGTAGTCTAATTACTCTCTTGATATCAAAATAGAACTTGTGCACTGTGGTAGAGTATAATTCCACTGTGGGTAACATTTATTTAGATAAAGTCTCACAGTGTTATGCAGTAATATTTATTTACCCATAATGGAATTGTATTCAGTTGATACTCCAACCCGAAACTGAGAGCTATTTCTATCATATGTGCGAGCAAGGTATCCTCTGTAACACTTTTCTACAGGTTTTATGCATTATTTCATAAATATATGTATTCCATACACAAAAATGCCTCCTTCACGTCATTAGTATGTCCGAGGTCATTCTCTGATTAGTAGTTAGTGATGCTTAAAGTTTAACTTTTCCCTTATACACTTGATTGTATGCGACGTGGCAGAAGACTCTACCAGTTAGCTTAAAAGCAACAGCATAAGGAGTGAATTTTAGGGTCACACGAAACATGTAACTCAGTATACAGAGACATACACTGAAATATACATATGTGCATACATGCACATGTGTACATGCCGAATATGTAGCAAAAACTGAAATACCTACGCATTTGCAGCATATTTCCCGAAACAAAAATAACTTCTTGATAAATGCTCAGCTATTTGTGGTAGAAATTTTCAGTTCTTCATTGAAAACATTTGATGCGTAGAAGTATACGCACCTCAACACGTTTTGTTCACCTCATTTTATGTATGATATGCATAGACTGTTAAATGCCAAATAAAAGTCACAACATAAAACTGAATGCAGTGAGGTCAGATGAGCCTAAAAGTGAGAGCTTTTAAAAGAATTGTCTATAAAATGTAACTATATGAAGCCGTCGAAATACTCATATCAATAATACTTAGGTCCTAGCTTTGTAAAATCTTCAAATATCTCAAAGCTGTTTGTAACTGTTATTCATGATTAAACGCAGTGGAAATTTTTAGTGATCGTCTGCCTTGGTATATGCGTATAACTTATTACGAATAATTTGCCGTATGAGAAAATAGCTTTATTCATCCCTTATATGTGTGTGGTTATAGTGCATTATGTTCCATAAGCCCATAGACAAGTAAATTATTAGATCTGTCAGTTGAACGCCAGCGCAGTGAAACTACTATTATAGCGTCGAATAGTATTATGAGCTTAACCGTCAAAGCCATTAACTTAAGAAATGCAGTATCCGTAGCTCACTAAAAATTGAATGGGGATTAGAGAAACAGTTGGATTTTTTTAGTCAGGTTTGGGATCAGTTTAGGAACAGGTTTGAATTAGTTCACTGTAATTTCAGAGACCACTCAATCGGTCAAACTCAAAATAGTTTCCAAGACACATAACTACAGAGAAGGAGTCACTCAACAAAGAATACTGTAAGACTAGATACCTGTAAGCTTGTCATTAACAAGTGCCACATACTTTGTGAAACACTGCTAAATATTTACTGTCAGAGTTGTTATGAAACTACTGATCTGTCATCTTATGCCTAAAAAATAATGTGGCTCGAGCCTTAGCATAAAAATAGTATGACTTCTGTGCTGGACTTAACGGTTTGGCTGTCTTACATATATCGGGGAAGAATTCCGTAGATAATACGATAATGAACCTCCAGCAATGTGGTATGTACTGACTTAAAAAAGGTGTTTTAAAATAATTTCGAAAAGGATTAACAGTGTTGTCTACTTATGCTAGTGTTGATAACAAGGAAATATGAATCGGAGACTACTTTCATAATAAAAGGTGGAAATTTCTGTAGGATTTTCAACGAATTCGGACACATTCACTTAATTAGCATAATACACTTGTTATTCTCGTCACATCTAAACACTACTACAAGTCTTCTTATTGACAGCGTCAAATGTAAACTTCTGGTCAGGAGTGACGGCAACTTTTGATGATCAGTTTGGTTTTATTGCAGAACTTGGTACAATATGGGCACCAGGAGATGCTCCACGAAATTTGTCGAGAGATGGTGTGATCAATAAACCCTCATCAAGGTTTGAAGAATGCGTGGTTTTCGGATTTGTTCATCCTGGGCTTGCCTTAATCCATATCACTATGGATAACAGGATACTAACACTTTCAGTGGAGCCGATTTTCATGTGGGAGATTTATCCGCACAATGATTTGGACGAGACAGTTGGAGTTATTTGGGATTCCCACACCATTGGCTTAACCTTTCGACCTTCAGCTAATCGGCCTAGAAATCAAATTTCACTCCATCTGTTGCAGTTTGTGTAGTATAATCAGCCCTTACACAATATGTGGGGTTCAGCCTAATGCATAAAACTGGTTCTTTTTACACAATCATTCGCAAAATCCTCTGATTTCAAATCCCTAGGTCCTGCGTTACTTCATTTTAGGTAGAGAACCTTCCTCTACTTCAACGAGAGTTGGAAAACTGATATCTACTTCCCATTCACACTGGACCAGATTACTATGCTTAACGCTGCAGGTTATAGTTTTGATCGTTTATCTCTACCTTTGTATGCTACATGGAGTATGACAACTTGGGCTGCTGCACTTCTGTGCGAAGTTCCATGTTTAAACTAATTGAGTGACTTCAACCTTAAAAACATAGCCTGTCACTTCCACCAGCTCGGTCGGTCGGTCGGTTTTCGACATAGAACTTTGCACATATGTGCGGCAGTTCAAGTCGCCACAATCTATGTAGCACGCAGAGCAAGAGAAGGAAGTAGAAGAAATGCATAATATAGACAGTAAACAGAGGTGTGAGACAAAGGAATAGTAATAACGGAGAACAAAAGTTTAATTGGAAATCATAAGTCACAAGGAGTGGATGCATCTGCGCCACTGAGAACGATTTTGAGCCATGTCACCAATTGTTTCCAACCATTGGTTTTTACCTTCCACCAGCTAGATGTTTATATGTCGTTGGTTCATCTAAGCCTCGTTTGGAGGTGTAGACTGCCTGGCTGATTGCAGTCCTCAGGATGGTAAAAACGAATGACTGGAGATAATAGGTGATATGGCTCAAAATTGTTGTCAATGGCATAGATGCATTGTTTTTGGTGTGGTTGTGTTCTCTGAGCTGGATGGTTTGGTTGCGAAGCTTTCATTGCTCTACTGAGCAACATCTTCAGCGCATACTTCGATGTGAAGTGAGCTTTTAGAATTCTCTATGAGTTTATTAGTCATCTCTTCTAGTAACCTTGAACGTGATTGGTTGTTTTCGTGTGACATTTCATCCCCTAGTTTGCTTGTCTCGGTGCTGGCTGCTTCTTTGGTCTGAATGTCGTTAGTCATTCCTTCTGCTAACCTTGAACGTGATTGGTTGTTTTTGTGTGACTTCTCACTTTCTAGTTCACTTGTTTTGGTGTTGACTGTTTCCTTGACCTGAAGTTTGACTTTGTTTTTGTGTGAATTTCTTTGTATGGATTGGTATATTTTGTCAATCTCTATGTGTCTATTGATTGATGATTCATTTGAATACCAGGCCTCTAGGAATTCTCTGGCATTTTTACAGTTCCCTTTGTCTAAGATTTGAACATTGTCCCAGTCGAATTGGTGCCCGTGGTTGTCTGCATGTAGTGATATGAGGGAGTGTATGTCGTGTCTTTTGACAGCTAGTTTGTGTTCGTGAATGCGAAGACGAAGAGGGCGTCCACTTTGACCAATGTAATGTTTGTCGCAGTCGTTGCAATTTATCTTGTAGATGACGTTAGTTTTGTCTTCTTTTGCCGTTGAGTCCTTTGGCTTACATAGAACTGAGTGTAGTGACTTTGTTGGTTTATGGGCGACATCGATTCCAAAAGGTTTGAATAGTCTTGCAGTGATTTCGGAGATATCTTTTATATATGGTAGGACGACTTTCTTTGTGTTTTCGTTGGTGGCCTTTGATTTGGTTGGTTGAGCTGGGGGTAGATGTCTTTTGATGAAGTTTCGTGGGTATCCATTTCTTTGGAAGACGTCCATAAGATGATTTTCTTCAATTTTCCTCAAGGCGGGAGTGCTGCAATGAGTCCTGGCTCTCTTGAACAATGTACGTATGCAGCTAATTTTGTGTGATGTTGGGTTGTTACTGTTGTAATTGAGTATTTGATCCGTGTGCGTTGGTTTTCTGTATACTTGGGTTTCTAATTTTCCTGTAGTTGTTCGTTTGATTAAGACGTCTAAGAATGGGATTTTGTTTTCATATTCTTCCTCTCTTGTGAATTTGATGTCGTTGAAGGTGTTGTTTATTATGTTGTGGGTATTGTCTAAGTTTTCTCTTTTGATTATCACGAATGTATCATCTATGTAGCGTATCCAAATTTTCGGTTTGATCTTTGGCAGAATTATGTTTTCCAGTCTTTGCATGACGGCTTCCGCAATCAATCCTGATATGGGTGATCCCATAGGTGTCCCTTGAATTTGTTCATACATTTGGCCGTTGAATTGGAAATAAGTTGTGAGACACAAGTTTATGCATTCCATCCAACTTGAATGCTGCATTTTTGATTGTTGTATGTGTTCGTCGTTGTTGAGTAGTTGTTCCATGGTTTCTTTTGCTAGTTTTAGTCCAATTGAAGTATATAATGCCGTGACGTCGAAGGATACCATTATTTCTTGGCTGTCTATTTCAATGCCTTTGATTTTCTCTAAAAATTGGGTCGCAGATTGGATGGAGTGATCACATGATTTCGTCAAGTG